GGCTGGCATGTGGTGCTGGGGGATTGAACCGTGGTCCCGCTGCTTTGCCAAACTTGTTCTAAATAGGTGCTTTAGACCACTGAGCCACCTCACCAGCCCATCCAAATTATGTTTATAAAGGAGTATGTCAACATCTTTACCTGGACAGAACAAAAATAGGAAAATTAAAGAACAGTATCTCTTGTGAATGAATACCTATGTAAAGATATTAAAGAAAACATTAACAGAATTCAAAACACATTAAGAAAATAATTCCCCATGTGAGATGCCAAAAATGGGAGGTCGGCTCATTACTAGGAAACTGATCAATACATGAAGAGAGCTACAAAGAAACCCAAAATCATCATCATAAATGTAGAAAAAGTCCTGGAAGAAATTCAACAGCAGAGCTGGGAAAGTAGCTCGGTGGTAAGACACTTGCCTAACATGTACACGGCCCTGGGTTCAAGCCCCTGTACTAGGAGGAATGGCTACTCCTACGAAAGAGCTTGTCAAGAATACCGGAACTGACAGAGGCTGCTAATATTCAAGATAATGTAACACCTTAATGAGAGTCTTTTACTTAATCTGGCATTTCCCCTTAGATTAAGGTAAGAACATATACTACTTCCTACGTGTTTAACACTGAACCAGAGATGTCAGCAATGAAAAAAGGAAGTAAGATATCAGATGCAGAACACAGAGTCATCTTGACTTGCAGGACACATGATGGCACATTTGGAAAGTCCTAAAGAATCAATAATGAAATTACCTTAAACAATAAAGAAATTCAGCAAGAGCAGAGTATGGCATTAATATACAGAAATCAACTGCCTTCATAACTCACTGACAATAAACAGTTAAAGAATATAATGGTAAAGCAGGCATGGTGACACACACCTGTAATCTCAGCTACTTGGGAGGCTGAGGCATCCCAAACTGAAGCCCAGTCTGAGTAACTTAACAAGAGCCAGTCTATGGGCTGGTGAGATGGCTCAGTGGTCTAAAGCACCTACTTAGAACAAGCTTAGCAAAGCACAGGGACTGCGGTTCAATCCCCCAGCACCACATGCCAGCCAGCCCCGCCCCCTGGTGGGCTGAGCTGGCCACACACACACACACACACACACACACAAATAAATAAATAAATTAATTAAAAAAAAAAAAAAAAAAAAAAAAAAAAAAAAAAAAAAAAAAAAAAAAAAAAAAAAAACAAGAGCCGGTCTCAAGAATAAAGTAAATTTAAGCTGGGCATGGTGGTGCATGCCTGCAATTCCAGCACTCTGGAAGGCTGAGTCAGGAGGATCTCAAGTTCCAGCACAGCTTGGGCAACAGGAAGACCTTGTTTTAAATAAAAATTAAAAACACAAGGAAGGGACTGGAGATATAGCTCAGTGTGAAGGCCCTGGGTGCAATCTTCGGTACTGCAAAATAAATAAATTTTAAAAAGGGTTGGGGATGTGGAACAGTGGCAGAGTGCTTGGTGAGGCACTGGGATGCCTCACTGAGTTCAACCCCCAGGTACAAACAACGAAAAAGTACACTGGAACAAAAACATATCCCATGCTTTTGGGTATGACTCAACAACTAAGGACAGCATATGTATTTATTTATTTGTTGAGACAGGTCTTGCTCTGTAATTTAGGCTGGCCTCGAACTCACTGTCACCCTGGCTGGCCTTGAACTCGGAGCAATTCTGCCTCAGTTTCCCAAGTGCTGAGATTTTAGGCATGGGTCACCATGCCTTGCTAGGACAGCAAATTTATATACCCACTACACTCTCAATAAAAATGCCAACACACTATTCTTTTTTTCTTTTTTTGCAGAACCAGGGATTGAACTCAGGCCCTTGCGCTTGCCAGGGAAGCGTTATTCTACTGAGCCATCTCCCCGGCCCCCCAACACACTATTCTTAAGGAACTGGTAAAGTTCATATTCAAATTCACAAAGAAAAATAAACAAGCAACCACTGGAGAAATACTGAAAATTGTGAAGGGCTCAGTTAACTATTCAACAGTAATATCTACCCAAAAAAAGCCTTTGATCATCATGGTTTTTGTGCACAAAGACCAGGAAAAGACCCAAGTGAAATAGCATGGTACCTTCAGTCCCAGGTCAGAGATGTATTTTTACATAGATGATGCTGGACAAATGTGTAACTCCTTGGAAAAAGATAAAATTGGGCCTATACCTTACATCACATCTAAAAGAGTAGAGGATCAGTGATCTAAAGGTGAAAAATGAAACTATACAAGTACTTGAAAAAATCACAGGTGAATCCTTGCACAAAAAGAGCCTAGGAAAAGATTTTCTATGATTCAAAAACCAGGGCCAGTAAAGATGAATACATTTGATTACATAAAATTAAAACATAGGACACCAAACACCACTGGCAAAGTCAAAAACGTAAAAGCCATGCCAGGTGTGGCGACAGAGATCCGTAATTACTGCATTCCGGGAGGCTGAGTCGGGAGGATTGAGTTCAAGCACAACCTAACCAGAAGAGACGCCTGTGGCACCTCCTTCCTATGACCCCGCTCCTGGGGCTCCACATTTACATGCTGGGCACACTTCCAACCTGGTAAGCACGAGTTTCCAGGGCAAGTGTGACTGTCTCAGGGGCCTCAGTCTCAACTACACGATGGAGCTCATGAGAAGAGGTAGAGAAGGTCTCCCAGCAGGCACACAGAGCCCAATCTCAGATGAGTGGTGACCACTTGGGAGGGCCTAGCACCTAGGGCACCCCGACTCCATGAGGGCAATGGCAGACTGGTTACCTGGGCTCCGGTAGAGGCTCTTGGGCAGAGCAGGTGAGTGAGTGTCGATCAATGCCACAATCTTCATGTGTCCGTACTGCTTGGCCAACATCCTGGCTGTGGCTCCACTGTGGTCCCTTGTGTCTACTTTGACTCCCTGGGAAGGCCCGTGAAAGAAGAGTTAGGAAGCTCCCTTCCAAAGCTCTGGTGCTCCCTGGGCAGCTGGACTGGGTGGGGAACAGGCTTTCCCCAAGGTGGGAAACGTCGCACACCATAGGAAGGATGCAGAGCAGCCCTGCTTGACAGAGTTTCACTCTAACTCTGTTCTTAATGATGGGATGGGCTCTGCAGCCATATCACCAAAAGCAGTCACCACACCTGAGCACTTTCCTCACAAATGTTCCCTGCCAGATGTGGGATCCTGCAGTCCAGGAGCACCCCTCCACACCACACCAGACCCATGCCTGGCCCCCTCCTCTGCACAGGAAGTGCTGGCTTGCCAGAGAGGCAGCTCTGAGACTATCCCCAGAACCTTCTGAAACAGTGGCACCTTATATCCAAAGCTCTAAAATGCACTTACAGTCTTTAGCACAGTTCCACGTCTCTGGAAATCTACCCTAAAGAAAAGCCCTAAATACAGACAAAGCTTTCATGGCCAAAGTTGCTGAGCACCACATATCTGCAACACGAATCTACAGAAGATACAAATGCCCTGTAGACGGACCACCAGCCACACCATCAGCCTAAGTAATGGCACAATTCATAGAGCCAAGCTTAAAAAGGATCATGATTTAAAAGAAAAGAAAAACAAACTACAGCATATACATCACAGTTGCAGCCAAGCAGGACAAAAGAGGTGCACAGAAACCAGGCTTGGTGGGGCACACCTGTATTCCCAGCACTCTGCGAGGCTGAGACAGGAGGATTCCAAGTTCAAGCTCAGTTTTGGCAACTTATTAATTTAGTGACACTCTGCCTCAAAATAATAAAAAAGGGCTGTGGACGTAGCTCAGTGTGGAGGCCACGAATACGAGGGGGTAGTGGGATACACACAGAGAAAGCAATACCAGGACACATGCCCAAAGCATTCACATTCTTTGTAAGCAGTAAGTCGATGGGCATGTTTTCCGGTTCTTCTCACCTTCTGTGTTCTCTAAATGTACGGTATAAACCTGTTTACTTCTGAAACTGGAAAAGTCCAATAAGGCTTTTACTTTAAAAGTTTCAGCCATACACATCACAGCCGACCGTGGCAAGCACTACCCCAAAGCTCTAGAGGGGGAATCTGCAGGAGAAACCTGAACATTAAATGTCTCAAACCCCATAACCCAGCCAATTGGACTTCTAGGAATTCAGTCTGAGGAAATCATTAAGGACATGCACAAAACCTTTAGGATTTTCACTGGAGCATTCAGCACGATAACTAGCAAGAACCTACAATGGGGGCCAGGGAACTGAGTCATAGCAAATGGTCAAGCTCTTCTCTCCCGCCCATTCACACAAGAAAGCTGGAGTGTGCGTGTGCGTGAGCATGTGTGTGTGTGTGTGTGTGTGTGTGTGTGTGTGTGTGGCGACTGCAGTTATGCCCGAACCGAGGGGGGAAAAAAAAAAAAGATTATAAAACACATAGGTCATTTCTACATTTTGGCTATTATACCACTGCTGTGGACATTCACTACGAGATTCTGTACACACAGATCTTTGAGTCTTATAGATCTGATAGGTCCTATGGTAATTCTAGGTGTAACCGAGAAATCTCCAGACTGTTTTCCATTCCCATCAGCTGTGTATCAGGGTTCCAATTTCTCTATCTCCTCATTAATCCTTTTTTTTTTTTTTTTTTTTTTTTTGGAGGAATGGGGGATTGAACTCAGGCCCTTGTGCCTGCCAGGGAAGCCCTTATTCTACTGAGTCATCTCCCCGGCCCCTCCTCATTAATCCTTGACATTATCTTTTTTATTTATTTGCCATACAGGGATTGAACCCAAGGAGTGCTGAGCTACAGCCCTAGCCCTTTTTACTTTTGATATAAAATCACACTAAGTCACTCAGGCTGGCCTTGAACTTGCAGCCTTCCTCACCAACACCCACCCTCTGCCCAAGCTGGGATTACAGGTGTGAACCACCATGCCCTACGATTTTTAAAGAGTACTTGCAAGATCATTGTAAGTCACACTCACCACGGTACCACTAGTGCTCAGGAACCACACACTTGGCATCAATAGATTTTTATTTTATTTTTATTTATTTATTTAAATTATTTATTTATTTGTTTATTTATTTTTGTGTGTGGCCAGCTCAGCCCACCAGGGGGCGGGGCTGGCTGGCATGTGGTGCTGGGGGATTGAACTGTGGTCCCTGTGCTTTGCTTGGCTTAGCTTGTTCTAAGTAGGTGCTTTAGACCACTGAGCCATCTCACCAGCCAAAGAATCAGAATCTTTTTTTTTTTTTTGTGGCACCAGGGATTGAACTCAGATCCTTGTGTTTGCCAAAGGAAGCACTTATTCCACTGAGCCATCTCCCCGGCCCTCATCAATAGATTTTTAAAGAAAATGTACTGAACAAATGAAGAGCAGAATGTGTAAGAATGTATGAAAGGGCTGGGGAGATGGCTCAGTAGAACAAATGCTTGCCTGGCAAGCGCAAGGGCCTGAGTTCAATCCCCGGTTCCGCAAAAAAAAACACAAGAAGAACATATGAAAGACAATTCTGTTACAGTCTGCAGCTCAGTGTTGCGATACCTGATTTGTTGTAGCTACATTATAAGCTACTCAACAAGGTCACTTACGTGGTTCAGAAAATACTGCACAATTATCTCATGGCCAGCAGCAGCAGCTTCCATCAAAGGAGTAAATCCACATATGGGCTCCCTGCGAAACAGGCCAGTCAGGATCAGCAGAGGCAAGTTCTGCCCTGCAGCAGCTCCCCTGCCGCAGACCTAGCCGAGAGCCCAAAGTGTGGGGTGCAGGGTGTGCGCAGGCCCTTATGCTCTTGTGCTTGCTTACTCTCTCCTCTGGGGGGGCGGCCTCCCCTCCTTCAAGGCTGTCCCTACCTGCTTCCCATAAATCCCCACTTGAATCACACTCAAAAGCAGCTATTATTCATTTCCCACAGAAAGCTAATGTGTGCTACTTACCTACCCAGATTCTGTCTTTCAAGTCTGACACCCTTGCGAACTAGTCCCCCAGAGCACACATGCTAATAATCCTACCTCTCCACACTGGGCACAGCACCTGCAGTATATTTTTTATGCAGGGTCAACACCCTAGTGCCGTCTTCAAAGTGCTCCCTATAACCTGCTTATTTTCTGCTGGTCTGGAAGCCAGGAACCATGGTAGATACTGCCCCACATCCATTCTAAGATACACACTGGACAGGGCCATGCTTATAATCCTAGCATTCAGCAGGAGGATCACTGCAAGTTCAAGGCCAGCCTAGACTACAAAATGAATTCAAGCCAGGCTGAACTGCATAGCAAAGCCCTATCTCAAAAATACGAAAAAAAAAAAAAAAAAAAGACATCTACTGCACATTTTAACACCTGAAGTTACAGTGTATCTAGGGGCTAGGGAGATGGCTCAGTGGAATAAGCACTTCCCTGGCAAGCACAAGGACCTGAGTTCAATCCCCGGTTCCGAGAAAAAAAAAAAGAAAGAAAGAAAACAATACAGTGTATCTAAAAATCAGTGAGCAAGTTTAATTTTTCTTTCTTAGGAATCATTCAAAATTATTCTATGTCTTAAAAGGGACAACAGCAGCAAGAGATGCACACAGCATCGGGTGGAAGCGGATTAAAACACATTATCACACACTTCAGACCACAGGTGTATGGCCTGTTAGAAACAGGGGCTCTCAGCAGGTGAGCAGTGGGCTAGCAGGGGAAGCTTCGTCTGTACTTACTGCTGCTGGGCACCTCTCACACGGCCGCCTGTTGGATCAGGGGTGGCATTAGTTTCTCATGGGGACACAAACCCTAACATAAACTGCACACATGAAGGATCTAGGTTTTGCGCAGCTTTGAATCATTCCAAAACCATCACCTATCCCTCACCCATCTGTGAAAAACTTGTCTTCCACAAAAGTGGTCCCTGGTGCCAAAAAGGTTGGGGACCAATGTGTCAGAAGATAAATCACTTCTAGTTTATAAAACATAATGGTTTTCAAAGCTTCACTTTTCCAGACATATACAACAGGCAAGAAAAGAAAGAGAACTAGCACTTTACATGTATTACTTAAATGCCATTTTCTATATTATGCACCCAGCATATGACATAGCTTGTACAGTGGTGCCTTGGTTCACAAATGCTTTTGTTTGCAAACCAAAGCATTTGACAAATGTTTTTGTTTGCAAACTACATTGGATGACCAACACAAATGTGACTATGTTTTCCAAAATCGTGGAACAAATTAAGTTCATGAACTCAAGTACCACTGTTTATAAACTCAAGTACCACTGTAATTTTTTTTTTCCCCGTCTTTTGCTGCACTGAGGATTAAGGTCAAAGCCTTTACACTGACTTACACTCCCAGCCCCTTTTAAAATTTAAGGCCAGGGAGATAGCTCAGCAGCATAAGCACCTGCCTGACAACCGCAAGGTCCCAAGTGTGATTCCCTTCCTGGGACCAAATAAGTAAATAAATAAATAAAATAAAATGAAAATTCTTTTTAAGACAAGGTCTTACTATGTTACTAAGTTGTCCAGGTTGGGCTAGAATTTGTGGTCCTCCTACCTTAGCCTCCCACCTCCCAGACAACTGGGATTACAGGAATGCACCACCACACCTCGCTATAACATGTAATTCTTCCAACAACACTCTGACACAGGCTTTGCTATCCTATTTTCAGATAAAGAAAATGAATCTCAGAGCCCTAGAAAGATGCACTGGCAGTCCCGACAGGTGTGCAGACAGGTTCCCACCTGGGCAGGCCTGTCCACTACACCCCTTCTTCTTTATCTCTCACACCAAGGCGGGGTGGTGCTGACCTCTGGCTAGTGGCTTCTACAGCCATCCTTCCTAGAGTCAGTCAAGACCTAGCTCACTCCTGTGGCAATCACCTCACATTGGCATTCGCCCCACTGTCCAGGAGGAATCTGACCATCTGCTGGTGCCCGGCACTGGTGCAGTGGAAGAGTGCAGTCCAGCCTTGAATGTCTTTCATCTCGAGCTCGGCACCTTGCTTCAAGAGAACACAGAACACAGGTTATAGCCCATCTCTCCTGTGTGAGCAGATAGGCAGGCGGCGCCCTCCAGGCCCTCAGCGGAAGAAATGGAAGTGATGATGTACTCACACACATACACCCTGGCCTGCAGAGCCGCACATCCTATCAGGGCAGCCAGGGAGCCCCTTGGGGTGCTGGGCCTTTGCCCCCTCATAGCTCACCTGGAGGAGAAAGTAGGCGATGCTCTCGTTGCCACAGCTGGAGGCCAGCATCAGTGGAGTCTGCCCTTCCGGGGTCGGCACATTCACACTGACCCCTGCCTCAAGCAGCAGGTGCACGATGGTATCGTGTCCAATGTAGGAGGCATACATCAGCGGGGTCCAGCCACCTCCATTCTTCTTATTCAAATCTAACTCTCTCCTAAACAAACACAAGATACACTAGACACACCCCACTGTCTCTTGTGGTGCTGCTGCTCACCAGAGCTGTAGGCCAGGCCAGGCGAGCTGCCATTCCAGAGGTCCCCAGGATCAGGGGAAGGCAGGTAGGGAAATGTTCCTACTTGCTTAGACACCTACCTTAAAAAAGTCCTTGTTTCTTTCTCTTTTTTTTCTCCTTGTTTCTCCTTCTCTAATTTCATATTCTCACCAGTCCCTCCTATAGTCCTGATAGCCCAAGACTATCAAATTCCTCTCTTTTGTACTACCAGCTAGACACATGATGCTCAACCCCGGGGAATCACTCAGCAAGGTTTGGGGTCGTTTTTGGTTATCATGACTGGGCAAGGAGCCACTGGCATGAAGCGGGTGCAGGGAGGAGCCTGCAAACACGCAGTATACTAGATACACCTTGGCAGAGTGGTAGAGCTGGCCTGGCCTCAGGAGAGCCGAGGCTGAGACACCCTGACCATCTACCATTAAGTGTCCGGTGTGGCAGGGTAGAACTGGCTACAAAGGGACAATAATGTAGACTGGAATATCAAGGAAAGAGAAAGGACTCGACCAAGGACAACAGCCACTGCTGCTGACTTCTTTATTACCATATGCTAAAAACAGAGAATCAGGCTGGCGAGATAGCTTGGCGGTCTAAGTGCCTGCCTGGAAAGTGCAAGGACTGGTTTCAATCCCAAGTACCGCATGCCATGCAGGCCACAGAAAGCAGGCATGGTGGTGCAAACCTGTACTCCCAGTGCTGGGGAGGCTGAAAACAGGAGGATCACTATGAGTCCAAGCTGCATAGCGAGACCCTGTACCAAATACAAAAAAAAAAAGAGAGAGATTTATTTATTTGGTACAGAGTCTCACTATGCAGCTTGGACTTGTAGTGATCCTCCTGTCTCAGCCTCCCCAGTGCTGGGATTACAGGCACGCGCCACCATGCAGACTTGGTCACTGCCTCAGCACACCCAGGGACGTAGCATGTGGTACCAGGGATCAAATAAATGAATCTTTAAAAAACAAAAAATTAAAAAGAATCCTATTTTTCTCTCACTGATTTCCATTAAATTTCTGGAAATGCATTTTCAAACATAAAAAAAAAAAAAAATATATGTGGGCTTCCTGACTCACCTAGAACTAGGGTATGGGAATGACACTTTAAGATAATACCTACTCCTAGGAGCAGATGCACAGTGACCTTTCCTCTTCCACAATTTGGGCTTCCAGTAGCAGGAACAAGAATCCATCCATATGACTTGTGCTGCTAGTTGGATCCCTACACTAAACTGCGTCACTCACTAGCATCTTGCACACTCAGATGCACACCCAGGGAGCCATCCTGAAAGGTCCTGATCACAGGATGCAGTGGCGCCCTGCCAAGCGGTGTCATTTGCAGATGGCGTGAAAGACTCCATTCATCCTTGTACTTCCATCGCTTTGGAGCAGCAATTTCCCAAGACAGGAAGGGGCCTGCTCCTGGGCAAAACACTGTGTTTGTCAAGCCTCCTCCTCAGCTAGTGTCAAATCCCAGTCAGAACACAAACCCTGGTCCTCTTCTCTGTGCAGCTATTCTGAGCAACATTTTTCACAGGACACTCAAAGACCTCAGAGTCTGGGGTTTCCAGAGAGAATTATAACAGGGGTCTTGGTGACCCTTCAAGGACACATGAGACTGCACAGTCAAATGGCTATCCTAGTAAAGGAGTACCACAGCCTGCCCTGGACCACGATGCTACTCCCTTGGCTAGAGATTTATGAGAGATGGCAACAACCTGGGAACTGGACACCAGGTGCTTTAATGAGGCTTTGCTCTGGCTCACTAGGAACTAGAGAAGGCATCAAAGATACAGACAAACATGTTAATAGTTAAGAAATGGTAGACAGTGTAAGTGCAAAATATGGTCAAACACAAAGAACTGGACACAAAGTCTTCTCCCATGATTCTATTAAGAATCATACTATCCTCAGGGGCTGAGGAGATAGCTCAGTGGTATAAGTGCCTGTCTGGCAAGTGCAAGGTCCTGAGTTTGATCCCTGGTGCAAAAAAAAAAAAAAAAAAAAAAAAATCACTCAAAACTATCCTCTTCAGTAAAACAGCCTGAGCCCTGCTATGGCTTTCTGTAATACCAGGACTAAATACTGGTGTGCAGATCAGTACCCCTGGCACGTGGACCACGGGGTCAGGAGGTCACTCTCTCTTCTGTGCAGAAGCTAAGAGGGGAGATAAGGCTCCAGGAGACAAAAATGAACTCTCTGGGCAAAGGAGGCCGAAGGGCACTGCTATCTACCTTCACGACTGGATGGGAGGAGGGGGTTTGCATCAGTAAATCCCTAAAGTTACACTGGTTAAAGTAGGAATTAATGTTTATAAGCCTATAATAAAGCTTATAGTTATCTAGGGCCTAGAGAGAGAACTCAGTGGTACAGTGCTGGTTTAACATGTGTTGCCTTGGGATCAACTGTGCTTTTTAAAAAAAAAAAATATATATATATATATATATACTGTACACAGACTTGGCACATGGTAGGCAAGTGCTGTCACTGGGCAATACCCCTAACCTTTTTATTGTTGACATGAGGTATCACTATGTAGCACATGTAGGCTGGAACTTGTGATCCTCCTGCCTTAGTCTCCAGAGTAGCTGGGATTACAGTCATGTGCCATTACACCCAGCAAAACTGACTTCTTTGTTTCTATGTTCTCAGCCTAAATCATCACTGAGAATGGGTTCAAAAAGCAGGGTTGGCCCATCTCATCGGTACCAGATGTCTATGGCTACGTCAAGGTCTATCTCACAGGCTTGGGAGCTGTGTACATGTTATTAAAAGTGAGGCAAAGGGATGCTCCCCAGGACCTCTTACCGCTGCACACATTCCTTCACCACCTCATACTGGCCAATGGAAGCTGCAGTGTGAAGATCCAGGGGGACATCCAGCTCCTCCCGGCTGACCTGCGTCCCCAGCCCGTGCCACATGGACAAACTGCAGTTCAGGAGCTCCGGCTCGCTGGCTTCATCGCTGAGCTCAGACATGGCTGCAGAGGAAGGCCCAGGGGTTAGGTCTTCCTTCCTGGCTGTTTCAGAAAATGAAATGGCTGATCCTACTCCTACATATCTCAGATCTCAGATGTATTATGCTAAATGGAAGAAGTTTCTCCAAAGTCTGCCTATTGTATAACCCATTTTCAAGACATTCCAGGAAAGATAAAACTAAAGCTGGAGGCCAGGTCAATAAGCAGGAGCAAAAGAGAATCTGTGGGACCCTGGTTGTATTCTGTATCATATGATGGTAGACATATGATATAGTGGTCCATACATTGTGTCAACTTGGCTGGATCCCCTTAACAGGAGGGGTGGGCCCGCCCCAGGGAGACTTAGCCCAAAAAGGGTGTATTAAGGAGGTTGAGAAAGGATTCAGCATTCCACTTCTTTGGAGGAACTTCAGTCTTCTCAGTCAGCTTGGACTTCATCTCCTGGCTTCCAGTGCAGACTCCTCAGCCTCCGGCTTGGATCTTTCAGCTTGGATCCTTCAGCTTTCTGTCAAAGACTCATCAGCCTTCCATCTTTTCTGCTGCAGACCCATTGGCTGACTGACAGACTTGCACGGAGCACTGCAGTGAGCTTCAGACCTTGGGACTGAATTCTTCAGCCTCAGATGTGCAGACACCTTCTGCACACTTCTTCATCCAACTCTGCAGCTGACCGTCGTAAGCCAATCTTATAATTTCTTGAACATTTGTACATCTTGTGTTATATCTGTTCCTTGTACTATATCTGTTCTGCTAATAAAACCCTAATACATATGAGTTTACACATTTGTCAAAACTCTCAAAGATGGACTCCCAAATGAATTATACTATAAGTAAAAACTATAAATTTTTTTCTAGAAAATGGAAAGAAAGCTCCTAGCACAGAAACTAAAATGCAATTTGTAATGCTAAGAAATATTAATTGAACAACCATCTACCAATGCATTCCCCCAAAAGTGAAAAAGATAAGAGGAAAATACGACAGGCTGATAGCCCGGTGCGGCAGTGCATGCCTGTATCCCAGCACTCAGGAGACAGTCAGATGGGCTGTTGTGAGTTTAAAGACAGCCTGAACTGCAAAGGGAGATCCTGTCTCAAAAAGACAAAAAAAAAAAAAAGGATGCTATGTCTGTGTTTATGAGTGCTTTTTCCTGGGACTACTACCTGACCCAAGACCAACTCATTAGCTTCTTAGCAAAACCCTGAGTTGGGGAGTAACAGGAAGCAAGTGTATAGGAGGAGTTAAAGAAAGGTGTCCTGGGGGCTTGCTGGTTAGCTCAGCTGTTTAAGCACCTGCGTGGGCAAATCCAGTCAGGTGCGGGGGACAGCGGTTCGATCCCCAGCTCCGCATGCCATACCTGACAAGGACAATTCATGGAGTCCCTTCGGACCTCAGTTTCTACTACTGAACACTTCCAAGTATCTTAACATTCTTCCAAGTGTTGGTAACAGGCAAGATAGCCAAACAGACCAGCCAGCCATTGGTGAAATGGTGCAGGTGTGGTGAAATGGTGCAGGTGTGACAAGGCAGAATGTAACAAGCCCTGGGACCACCCGTTAGTGCTTCTCTCCACACCCGCCAGCCTGAGAGCAATCAGCACCCCTACATCGCTACATCGCGGGTGAGAATCCTTGGCCAACACAGCCTGGATAAGAATCCGGGTAAGCTTCCAACGGATCCTCCCGCCTTCCTTGAGCATTTCTTCCACTGCAAAAGCCTTCTCTCTCCATTTATCGGACACTTACATCTGACACCTCCCAAGTATTAAACGCTGACTGACAATTAGAAACAGAACCAGCCTCCAGAAAACTATGGGGGTGGAATTCTACGCCACAAAAAAACAAATCTGATTTATCACCATGCCTATGACAAACGTTTCCCAATGATGCAAGAAACATTCGTGCGCATATCCGTACATACCTAGAAAACGTCCTCTGCGCCTCTCTTCCAAAGCTTCAGGAAGTAGCACTAGAGAATGGGATCATTTAATTTTGCCCCCAGTGCTGAGAATGGAACCGCACGCCTGGCGCACGCTAAGCACGTGTCCTGACTCTGGGCCACACCCCCACAACCCCCAGGACCTTTTAATTCACTCTCTCCTGTTAGGTACTGTCCATTTCCCAAAATGCTAAGCAACTGTTGCTTTTAAAGTAGAAAAATGTAACTCAACACAAAGAATGCTGGTGGTGGAGGTCGCGCCTAAGAGAGGTGGCTAGTCAAACGCTGGGCTGCCCTTGCGACCTACGGGGTGGCACCCTAGAGCAGTCCGCAGACCCGTACCTCAGAGTCCCCGCCTGGCCAGCACAGGGTGCAGTCCCGCGTCTTCAGATCCAGACACACCAGTGCCGGACCGTAGGGACAGCAGACGCTGACACCTGGCGGGGCCGGCACGCACCCAGCCTACCTGTGACGGCCTCAGCCTTGGGCCGCCCTCCGGCCACCAATGTTGCCGCCGAACTTCTGCTAGCCGCCACCCTAGTAGCAGGCCCGTGGCCCGGCCCTCCCCGGAAGTAAACTACAGGAGCCGCGGAGCACACCGGGATGCTACCGACGAGATGGAATTGGTCCGTAGGGTGCCGGGGTCTTCCAGTCAACTCGCCCAGCTGGCCGCTGACACCTGAAACAACCAATGAACGGGCAGCTCGCCCAGGCACGCCCCCCCTGAAACGAGGGTAGCCAATCCTGATGCAGAAAGGCAGGCCAAGCCCACCTCGGAAGACGCTGGAGAGAGCGTTGGAGGGCGGGTCCTGGGATCTTAAAGGATCTCGGGACGCTGGAGTCGCTGGGCTGGGTCCGGCCTGCGGGAGGTCAGGCGCCCGAGGACGCTAACCGAGGCGAGTGGTGCTGGGTCTGTATGACCGCGCAGATGGACTTGAGGAGCGGGGCGGGACATGGGGATGGTCCTGGGGAATAACAGGAATTCCTTTTTTCCGAGGCTGGAATTCAAAAGCCAAAGAGGTCCGGTAGCGTCTAGTTGCCTTAGCAACCGGCGCCTTGCGGCAGTCTGGGCGTGGTTAACCGGCTGCAAGGGTGTGGAGATTTGGGAGGGACTCACAAGGAGTCTGCGCTTCAGCATCGTCGTGGTCGAGTTCGTTTTCGCTGCAGTTTGCCTGATACTGGACATGACCGACGCCTAAGCCACTGTACATGCTCTTCTCTTTGGCTGTTCTGTCTTTTCCTCCACTCAGTCTCTGGCAGCCCCTCATCTTGGTGATTTAGTTGCCCTGAATTTTCAAGCAGAGTCCCAGCTCTCCAGTACACTCCGAGGAGTGTATACATGTATACCAGAAGTGTCTCCACCCTGATGCCCCCCGTTTGGGACGCACTAAGCAACAGCTCAAGCTCGCAGAAGCACACAAGAAGCGAGAAATCCCCGATCATGACTCCTCTCGCTGCCCTGATGGCATGGACTGTCAACCCTCTCAGACACACAGGCCTCTTAGCAATGGGGTTCTCCATCTCTTCCCACATTCCTAAAGCCTCCTGCTCCCTGCCCCAGGACCCAGCCGTCTGGGATAATGGGGGGGCTGATCTCAGTGACAACTCCATACAGATATCTGTTGGCTCCAAAATTGCTCTTGCTTTTCTTGCTTTGTAATGAGGCTGGGCTGGGGGTATAGCTCAGTAGTAGATGCATGAAGCCCTGCCTTCATCTCAAGTACCAAAGTAATAGGAGGGGCCAGGAAGATGGCTTAGTGGAATAAGTGCTTCCCTGGCAAGTGCAAGAGTGAGTTCAATCCCCGGTTCCGAAAAAAAAAAAAAAAAAAGGACTTAAAATTCCCAATTTGACTGAAATTCTGTTCATCATTTATAAACCTCTCTAAGCCTATAAAATGGATATAATAGTGTCTGCATTATATAGGGTATATAATATATACCTACATGCCATTATATGTCACTTATCTGTACCACACATATGAATCTGTATACCAAATATATATATATATATATATATATTTGCATGCCATATGAACATGTTTATATTTTCATATACAGATGATGTTTCTGCAGGCTCCACACTAGTACACATACATGCACAAACACATGTGCATGTCACACACGACCTGGCACCAGTGAGGAAACAGCTAGGAAATAGAGGTCTTTTGAGGCTCTTTTTATGTCCTGCAGTGGTTGAAGCTCTAGAAAGGCAGCCCCCTCATCTCTCGTCCTTGGCTGCCTGGCCCTGTCCACCTTACCCTGTGTGCTCTGCAGAGCCCCTCACATGACTGTGCACAAGGAGAGCATTGCATGAGCCCAGGCACCCATGGCATCCAAAGACAAAGACACAGTGCCCTGGCTGGACGCCCCCTGGGATGCCATCCTCCAGGCTGCCAAAGACCAGCTCCCATCCCTGGACTCCGACTCCTCCTTGGTGAGCAAGAGCTGTCCCCCAAGCACTGAGTGTCCTTTCTTCCCATGAGGAGCCTGACACCAGCCAGGGTCAGCTCTGGTGCACTCTTCTCTACAGATCTTTCTCCCTCCAATCCATAAAGTTTGTTTTCCTTTTCCTATCAACTTTCAGGCTTTACAGGTGTTTTCTCGCTCCCACTTCCTTCCTCATCCTTCCTTCTGCATTTGTCAGTAATCTCTGAATGCATGTATTGGTGCTCAACATCCACCATGTGAGTGGTGGTTCTGGGCCGCACCACCACTTGGCGTGGTGACCATTTCATTGCATTCTGATAAGCCCTTGGAGGGTTTCTGCAGTTGTGGTTTGGGTCACCTGAGGCCCTTGAGGATGCTTGACACTGTAACCCCACGTGCCTATGCACAATGATACCCCATGGAATAGTTCAGGGGCTCTCAATGATACCCCATGGAATAGTTCAGGGGCTCTCAGCACACTCTGGCACTGGCAGCAAAGGCAAGGGTTTTAGAAGTGGCCATGATGGGTTATACCTGGGTGAGTATAAATATGACAAGAGCTTCCAGGTGCTCTGGACTTACCTGAGTACCAGGTCAAGCAGTGGTTAAGGCAATCCCGGTGCCTCAGTATACAGAGCACCTCCACATTTTCTGATGTTCTGGTAAGGTGGAAGATGAGCACACCAAGGCTGTACATCACATCACATCACTAGATGGTGGCTCAAGGTAGAGAGGGGACTACGCTCTGCTGTCACCCTCAGGCCACCATCCCCTCAACCACACCACCACCCCTGAATGCAGTTATTCAGTTCCAGGCATTAATGCAGCACCTTCTGTGTGTGAGGCCTGGGGTGTGGTGGGCCCTTACATACAAGGAGCCCTGGATCTCAGCCCCACAAGGTGGTATTGCTAAGCTCATGTCTGAATCAGTGGCAGGAAGCAGTGGAGAGCAGAGATCTCACTTGATGCCCCGGGGTAGCAGGGCTGGGGGCCTCCAGTGCTGCCATGTTACCCAGAGCCCCCTTATCTGCCCACAGTCAGACTTCAATGATGAGGAGCCATTCATCTTCCAGCGAAACCAACCTGTGCTGATTCCAGACCTGGCTGAGGAACTGGCTGAAGACCCTGGCAGTAGTGACAAATCTGAGACCTGGGCCCCTGGAGCTGAAAGGCCTCTGCCTGAGGTCTGTAGGACACAGGCTAAGGGAACCCATTAAGCCTGGCAACTTGCTGGCAGAAGGGAATATGTATCTGTCCACATCTCTCAGGAGACTCTAACCCTCAGTAAGGGTCTATAGTGCACAAAACCATGAGTCTGGTGTCTGCTACAGTCCTTCCTCCTTCGAGGACAAACCAGGGTATTCACAGGCCCGGGTGCTTAGCATGTGTATCTCTTTTCCCTAGGACAACCAACTCACGTGCTTCTGTCTGATTTTGCCACCTCTGCCCTTCATCTAGTCCCCTCTTTCCTATTTTTTATCAAGACACCCTGCACAGTGTGGCCATTGTCACAGCTGCCTGTCATAATGTCTCCATAACCTTCCTGGCTCCACAGCCACCTGGCTCAGAGCCTGGCAAGTAAGCAGAAGCTTCCTAGACATTTGATCAACTATGAAAGGCTCCAGAGGGAAGAAGGCCCTTCCTTAATCCCTAAGCAGATGTGCAGGCTGCTACCTAGGTCGGAATTAGGAAAGGCAGCAGCACATGCTCGAGCCTCCTAGTCATAGTAGTTGGCAGCATCACATCCAGTTTCCCTGTCTTCCTACTTCCCAGGACCCTGGGTAAGACCAAGAACTCTATTCAAACTTAATGACTTCATGCTGAAAATTAATTGCTTCCTTTATAAATAGAACCCATCTTCAACTGTCCTCCCTGGGCAGCCCCAATCAGTCAGCTTTGATGTGGTTAATGATTAAGTATCTTAGTTTCCAGCAAAAACACTGTAAATGCCCTCACTTGCATAATAGGAGCTAGGGGGAGACGGGTGGGCAGCTTCAGGAGCACCCAGCTCAGGGTTGACCCTCAGCTCAGTTCTGCTCCGCATCATTGACCAGGTGAGTGAGGTGCACCGTGGCTTGACCAAATCACATGACCCATAGCACCTGCTAACATGGCCATGCCCAGGAGCAGATCTGAAAAAACCCCAAACAGAAATTTCTAGGCAGCCAGGACCCTGGGTTAGTGCAGGTAACACAGTTTTCATGTGACTGTTTTGAGTCTCACTTCTAGAGTTACTTTGGCAACTCTTTGGGCATCTTTTAAAAAATTTGGGCTGATGGATATAGAGTTTCTGTTGGGGGAAATGGAAGAACTTTGGAAATTGTAGGGATGACCATGGAATTGTGTATTTAAAATGGTTAAAATGGGAAATTGTATGTTGCAAGTATATTTTGCCATAAAAAACAATCCCCTGAACCATGTTTTTGTGGATGCTAACAGAGAACACATGTTATCTCAACAGTCAGCTGTGCAGCCTGTGGGACTCACTGCAGAGCCTGTGTGTGAGCAGAATGCATGGCCAAAGGAGCAGGCCTCTTGGGAAGGAGGGAGCCCTGGCCAGCAGCTCAAGAGCTGTACTGAGACCCGCGTTCTTCCTTCAGCATCTGAGGGGACCCCTGCCTGGCAGGAAGGTGACCTTGGGAGCCTGTCCTTCAATACCAAAGGATTCCAGAATCCTCCCTGGGGTCTGCAGGGAGAAGCTACTTCTGCCCCTGAAGGACAGCCAAAGACAGAGCCCCTGGGTACTTCCTGGCAGGACTGTGCAAATCACAGAGCCCTCCGCCAGGAGAGGAGGAGGAGGATAGAGAAGCATGTACTCCACAAAGTAACCTGGGGTCCCCAGAGTCCAGCCTGTGGTGACAAAGGCCCAGCTGCAGAGTCAGATCCCAGGCCATGGGAAGGCCGGCCAGTACTCTCGCTCCAGGTAGTGTCTCCACTGCCCAGCCCTCCCTCCAACTTGTCCCCTGCAGTGTGGTTGTCCTCTTAGCATACTGGGGCTAGAACCAGTGGACTTGCCTCAGGCTGGTTTGAAAGTCCAGAGGGTGGGTCATCTGGACCAGAAGCTCACCTCAGGGAGGGTTAATGAGAACATAGAAAGCAAGCAGACTCAGCCCTCGCTGATCTCAAGGGTATGTTTCTAAGTACCTATACCCACACATAAAGTATAGAGCCAGGCGTTGTCAAAACGATATTCTCCAAATGGGGAAGCCCTCATTCTTGTTCAAATTGGAGTCAGAACATGAATGAGGAAACTAGCAGAGTGACAAAGTCAGTTAATCTGCATTAGGAAAGTAGGTGTGGTAGTATATATCTGTAATCTAGCACTCTGGCAGGCTAAGGCAGGAGAAGTGTAAATTAAGAGTCCAGCTGAGCGACTTTACTGAGATCTTGGCACAAAATAAAAAAAAAAAGGGCTAGAGCTGGAGCTCAGTGGAAAGGTCCTGGGTTCAATCTCCAGTACCAAAAAAGGGAGGCAGTCTAGGAGAGATGGATTCTGTGAAAGAAAACAAGGAAACATAGAGATGACTGAAGAGTAGCAAGTCAGTATCCCATGGTGTCACACAAGAGCGACCTTTGGGGTTAGCTCGTCCACTAAACAGGAAAAGAATCTCTGTCTCTGTCTCTCTGTCACTCACGCATACACGCGCACATGCGCGCACACACACACACACACACACACACACACGAGTTTCACAGGGTTCTAAACTAGGTTGGCCTGCTCAGCTGCACAAACCAACTCACCTTCTCTGTACTACAGGAAGAGGTTCCAGCGTGACATGCATATGCCAGATAATCTTTTTGTTTTCTTTTTTACTTTGAGACAGGGCTTTGCTAAATTGGCCAGGCTGGGCTTGAATTTGTAATCCTCTGCCTCAGCCTCAAGAGTGCTGAGATTACAGATGTGTATCCTGATTCAGATAACTTTTCTTAACAACAGAGAAAACTAGTACCGAGAAATACATGTTCTTTCTCATTTCTGTTTACGTAAGCTACCCTTTCCTTTCTGCTCATCTCTGACAACTTTTATTTTTCTTCATCTCTAGGGCTGTGAGAAATGATGTCCTGTATAATAAACACTCAGCTTTTGCTGCAGGTTTAGCTCAGTGTTGGAAAGCTTGCCTTGGGCCAGGGAGATAGCTCTGCGGTCTAAGCACCTGCCTGGCAAGTGCAAGGACCCTGGTTCTATCCCTGGTTCTGCATGTTGTGCTGGCCCTGCACCAAGCCAGCCACCAGCCAAAACACGGTATGGTGGTGCATGCCTGTAATCCCAGCGCTGGGGAGGCTGAGACAGGAAGATCACTACAAGTCTGCACTGTGTAGCAAGACTCTGTACCAAATAAATTAAAAGATGTTTTTAAAATTATTTATTTATTTGGCAGAACCAAGGATTGAACTCGGGCCCTTGCACTTGCCAGACAAGCACTTACTCTACTGAGCTATTTTCCCTGTCCCAAAAGATTTTTTAAAAATTAAAAAAATAAATAAAAAAGTTTGCCTTATATACCTGAGGCTCGGAGTCACATTCCCAGTGGCCCAAAAGACAACTCATTCTCAGTTAACTTTTCTCTGTCACATCATCTCTTCTTCCTAACCCAGTTCTCCACTTGGAGCCCTTGGTATAGCTTCCTGTTTTTTAAGCAAACTTTTTAGGGGCCAGGGAGAGGGCTCAGTGGAATAAGCGCTTACCTGGCAAGCACAGGGGCCTGAGTGCAATCCTTGGTTCTGCAAAGAAAAAAAAGAAGCAAACTTTAAACTCCAAACATTCCAAACCTATATGAACCTGAACAGCTAAACAACACAGGCTTTCCTCCAGTTCAACATTCTTGTGGCCCAAAACAAAAAGTATTTACAAATTCTCTAAGAGGAATGTGATCATTATGTATATGTAAGTGTACCAATAGAATCCGATTGAAGGAAGATAATATTGATGTAAAAAAGCCTTAAGAGGAAAGCCTCAAGATGTGTAGATTCTGCCTTCAGGGGGGTTGGCCATGATCATCAGGAGGGAGGATGTGTGCATTTGTGGGCATGCATTTGACCCCGATTTCTGTCCTACAACACCCATGACATGGGTCCCTGGTCCCAGCAGCAGCTGTGAAAGCAGATGCCATCACCTCTGGGACCGCGGGGCAGCCTTGTAACCACCAGCTTCATTGTTTCAGCAACTTGAAGAGTGGGATTTGGATTATATCCTTCAGAGTCTGCCACCGAGAGAGGACAGCCAGGGAAATCGTGCACCCAGAAGCGCGTGGTGGGCAGCAGAGCTCCGCCAAGGACAAGGTCTGACTGAACGCCACAGCCCAAGTGAACCCCACAAGAGGCTCCTTCTAGGACCTCAGTGACAGAGCTGTGGCCTAGGCAGAGTCAGCCTGGTGGCCATGTTTTCTCTGTGCTTGCTTAGCCGCTTGCCTGCCCTAAATCTTGTGTCGCCTCTCCTTGCAAGACTTCATGCGTTTGTTCAGCATACATAGGGTTTCCTGCTGTGTGCCAGGTGCGACCCAGCTCCAGGACCTTTTGATCCCCTCCCCTCCTTGTGCTTCCCCATTCTTCCTGGGGAAGGTTACTTACTCAGAGGAAGGTCACTCCTATCTCCTCCAACCCTTCAGTCAGCTCTTTTGCACACTCCTGCCTCCAGGGCTCACAGGAGAATGTAGCCTCTGTCACTGCTCTGATCACTGGCCTGCCTCTGGGCAGTTGTGCAAACAATGCAGAAGCCCTCCACCCTCTCCCCACTCTCTGGGACCGGCAACTGCACGGAAGGGCTGCAGAGCAGGCACCAGGCTTCCAGATTCAGGTGCACAGCCGAGACCCACCGTGCTTGTGCTCTTTTCAGTAGTTTTGTCTGAGTCACACACCCCCCCCACAGGGTGTAGAGAAACACACCCTCCTGATGGTGAGCACATGTAGGTATAATAGTCACACTTTCATATATATATATATATATATATATATATATATATATTTAGTACAGGATCTACAGGGTCTCACTACATGAACGGACTCGTAGTGATCCTCCTATTTCCAGCCTCCCAAGCACTGAGATTACAGGTGCACCACCATGCCTGGTCTTAATCACGATCTCAGTGTACCCTGGAGGTGGTGGGAACTTTGCTAAGCTATTTGGCAGGCCCTGACACTCCTTTTCTGAAGGACAGTGTGGCAGAATCTAGTCCCTAGGTATTATGTGTTTGTTTCTTTGAGACAGGGTCTCGCTGTGTAGTTCAGGCTGGCCTTAGCCTCACTGTGTAGCCCAAGCTGGCCTTGAACTTTTAACAGTCCTCCTGCCTCAGCCTCCTGAGTGCTGGGATTATAGGTGTGCACTACCACACCCCACATAACCCTTATTTTAAAGGCACAAACCTTTTTGTATCCCTTTCTGTTTTAGTTTTTTTGAGACAGGGTCTCAGTATATAGTTCAGCCTGGTATTGAACTCACAGTAACACTTCTTTCCTGAATACTAGGATTACAGGTTTATGGCACCACACCCAGACTATTCCATTTCAAAAAATCTTTCCTAAACATATACCCGGCCCTGCCCCCAGGGTGCACTGTGACAGCAGTCGAGACAGCATGGTGGCGGGTGCCTGTAATCCCAGTGTGTGAGAGGCTGAAAACAGGAGGATTACTGAGTCCAACCTGTGTAGTGAGACCCTATAGACCCTGTACCAAAACAACAACAAAAACCACATAAACATATACCCTAGCGGGTAAGTGTGTATCTGAAGATGTTGGGTTTTTTGTTTTTTGTTTTGCGGAACCAGGGATTGAACTCAGGCCCTTGCGCTTGCCAGGGAAGCACTTATTCTACTGAGCCATCTCCTGGGCCCCTCAAAGATGTTTGTTTCAGTTTTCTTTTTCTTTTTGTCTTTTGAGACAGGCTCTCCCATGCAGTTCAGGCTGGTCTTGAGCTCACTTTGTAGCCCAGACTGGCTCAAATTCACAGTGATCCTCCTGCCTCAGCCTCCCGGTGCTGGGATTACAGTCTTTGTGCGTCACCACACCCAGCTTTGCAGTGTTCTTTAAAGATAAGAAAAGTTAGAAGCTGAGCATGGTGGGGCCCACCTGTAATACCTGTACCTGGAGTGTGAAGCAGGAAGATCACCAGCAGTTGAGGCCAGACTGGGCTACTCAGTGAGTTCAAGACCTGCCTGAACTACACAGCAAGACCCTTTCTCAAAATAAAACAGGCACTCCCAGATGTTTACTGCTCAAATGCACAGTCCCCACTGAAAGATACTGCTCCCCTCGGCCCTGCTCAGCCAGAGCAGCCCCATAAAATGCTGGAGAGGGTAGATATGTAACAGCCTGAGCTATCTGCATCGGAAGAGGAGGCTCAGGGATCCTGAGTCTCAAACTGCTACAAATCAAAGGGCGCTGCGTCCCCACTAAGCAGCGTCCTCTCTGCAGCCCCAGACCACATTGTGCCACGATCCCAGGACAGGCTTCTGGAACAGCTGGTCCTCTGGTGTGCCACGCAGCATGGAGCCCCCACCTCTGCCCAGAAGGTGCCTGCCCACGTGCCCAAAGACACCAAAGAACAGGAGGCCGGAAGCGGGTGAGACTTGGTGCCAGCCACGGCTGTTGCCTCAAGACTGACCCCTGTCAGCAGCACTGATTGGGCCTGCTGTGCACAAGGCATGTGATGTGCCACATCCTCGTTTAATCTCAAGAACTAAATCAGGCAAGCAGCCCTAGAATCTTGGGCTGAGAGAACTGCCTTCCCCAGGCTGTAAATGGCAGAGCTGAGTTGCAATCCCACCAAAGTCATTGCCCCAAACCTATGAGACCTCCTCCTACTGCCCACCTAGTCTTCCTGGAAGTAGCACTTTCGCCTCACACCACACTGGTCAGTCCAGCCCTGGGCTTGTGTCCCAGCCAGGCCAATCAGAGCTTTTCCTTTTTTTTTTTTTTTTGGTGGAACCAGGGATTGAACTCAGGCCCTTGTATTTGCCAGGCAAGCACTTATTCTACTGAGCCATCTGCCCGTCTCCAGAGCTTTTCCTTAGGATAACCCTTCTCTGTGTCTCTGTAAAGGGCTGAAAAGGTTATTGGCAGCCACCTGTGGCTGCACATGGAGAAAGGCAACTGCAGTGATGGGGTGGAGATGAGGGAAGTTGAAGTAGAGAGCAAGCCCTGGAGTCCCTGGAGACCCAGCTATACTTCTCCCCTTCCACCCTTTTAGGAACCTGGGAGTCAATGCCTCTGCTTCTCTCCTGACCCAAATGTTTTGCCTTTGGTGTGCCCAGTGACCAAAGTATCTACTAGACATGGCCACATACGTACTATCTGTTATGGCAGCCACGAGCCACATGTGGCAACTGAGCACTTCAAATGTGGCAAGTGTGACTGAGGTGCTGAAATTCTTATGTTCTTGTTGTATTCATTTCAATTTACCTAGATGACAAATTTATTTTTACAGTACTTCGACTGAACCATGGCCTTGCACTGAGCTACATCCCTAGTGCTACATTTTGAACCCAGACATTTACTGCTGGCGCCATAAAGGCCCCTAGTGCTACATTTTGAGACAAGTTCTTGCTAAATTGTTAAATTGGCCAAGCTGAATTCAAATTCGCATTCTTCCCAGAGTACTGGGATCAGAGGCATGTGTCACCGTGGCTGATTTAGTTTACATATAAATTTAAACAGGTATCTATGGTAAGCAGCTACCGTATTAGCACAGACAGACAGAATTTCAGGTATCATGCAAGTTCAATTGGACAGCACTGGCCTGTCTTTTTTTTTTTTTTTTTTGGCTGAACCAGGGATTGAGCTCAGGCCCTTGAGCTTGCCAGGGAAGTGCTTATTCTACTGAGCCATCTCCCTGGCCTACACTGGCTTGTCTTGAGGGTGGTTCTGGAGAATAAAAAGTAGATAGGGCCAGATGTGGCAGTATACCCTGTAATCTCAGATCTTCAGGAGGCTGAGGCAGGAGGACCATAATTTTGAGGCCAGGCTAGGCTATTTAGCAAGACCCTATCTCAAATCAATAAATAAAAAGGAATGGGGTTGGGGCTGGGTGTGGGGTACACCCCCATAATCCCAGCACTTGGGAGGCTGAGGCAGAAGGATCATCGGTCATCTTGAGTCCAAGGCTAGCCTAGGCTATGTAGTTTAAAGCCAGTTTAAACTATATAGTGAGATGAAATTTTAAAAAACCAAAAGGGGGGTGGTAGTGTTGTAGCTCAGTGGTAGAGTACTTGCCTAGCATGCACCAGGTCCTGGGTTCAATTTCCAGCACAAAAAAAACCCCAACAATTGAGATGGGTTTGAAGTACTTACTAATACATGGTGGGTACCTACTCAACACCACCAGGAATACTGTGGTAGGACAAGTCCAGCAGGTCCTTGTTGTCACAGAGAAAGGAATGGGCCATCCTGGTTCTCTCATCTTAGATGTACTTCTGTGAAGCTGGGCTTTCAGGCTGTGCCAAGCCAGAAGTTAGCTGGGGACATGAGGCTGAAGACAGAGCCACCTACTATCTTCATTGACCTGCGACAAACAGAGCCACCAGAGCCTCAAGACCAGTCTCCAGAAAGGTACAGAGCAGTGCCAGCCCCACATCAGGCTCTCTGCTTGGCAGAGTTCCTACTGGCCCCACAAGGCCTTGGCAGTTCCTAGTAGGGAGAAATAAGGACTTGGAAAGACTCAGAACATCACTTGTTTGACAAGTGCATTTAGCTAGGAGCCGGGCCTGGCCAGCCCTTCTTGGTCACCTGCAGAGAGGGAGGGAGAGGGGCAGAGAAGGAGGGAGAGGAGCAGAGGGCAAACTTCATCAAGGCGGGAATCCATTACCTGTACCCTCCCTCCACCACTTGGCAGGAAGTCCAAGTGATTTCAGCTGTTGCACTTTGGCTGGCTGCCACCCTGAGCCTTAGATCCCCAGCGAGACCCGAGCACTCCAAGTCCTTGGTAGGGACCAGGCCTGGCAGAGTGAGTGCATTGAGATCCATGCAGACAGCCCATTTCTTTTCCTTCACAGGCTCAGCCACAGCTCCTCTGACAGTGAGGAGGATGAGGAGGAAGGGGAGGAGGACACAGTACATTCAGGAGACCAGCAGGGCCCAGTGCAGCATGCATCTCTTTCCTCCTGGGGGCGGTAAGCATGAGGACCTCCACCTGCCACCGCTGCCCTGCATCCTGGCCATCTTGGCTTTCAACCCTGTCCTACACCTTAAGGACTTGTCTGAGAGGGTGGGCCCAGCCTCTAACCCAACCTGGCCTGCTGTGTCTTGGGCATCATTGAGGACAGATCCTCCCGAGGATATACTTCTACAATCTTGCTCTCTACCACATGTAGCAACAAAAGAGACGAGGATGGAATGATGTGGTGGTTGTTAGCCAGGATTGAAAGGCATGGGTGAATTAAAGAATCAAATTCAGAGAGGTGAGAGAGACCCTACTATAGCCTAAGGGGTGAATGAGAATCACCCACTGTGGCAGTGGCTAGTGCTAGGACTGTACGGTCTCATGTGGCCCACCATGCACTGCATGATTAGGCATCTCAGAAAAAAAGCAGGAAGAAAACAGGGGAGACATTGAACAGGTCTCTTGCTAGAAGCTGTGATGTGATTAGCAAGACCCCAGGGCAGGAGATGTGGCCTCCCACGTGCATGCAGAGACCCAGGGACACACTTTGGCTCACTCTGGCTTTTCCGTTTGAGTCTGGCTACAGAAGGATCTCTCCTTCCCTCAGCAGCGCCCCTGACCAGGGCCATGCTTCCTAGGCAAGGGTCACTGTGGGGCTGAAGGGCAGAGCACTCCTGCTGGTCTCATCACCCAAATCCAAGCCTCACTCTGCAGCCCCTGAACTGAGCACCCCCGTTCTGGTCTGCAGCTCTGGGTCAGCAGATTGGCACCTGTCCCCAATCTGCCCCTTTAGCAAATGCCTCTTCAGCAAAAATGTCGCCACCCCTCACTGTCGTCATCTGGGCTGAGAGATAGTTTTCATTCCCACTCAAAGGATTCTGGGGCCAGCACCACAAAGTGCTGCTAGGGGCTGTGATTGTGTTGGCCTGGGCTTTGAGATATTGAGAGGGTTCCTTCCCGTGCTGTTGGGAAAGGGGCCATGCTCCTCTGGCTCCTCCCGCAAGAACATCCATGGTCCACATCTTCTTTCTGGACCTCCTCTCAGCTGGGTTTAACCCAACTAAAACCAGCTAAAAACCTAAACTTGGAGAAGGAACTCAACAGATGGTGATGTTTTTCTAGTTGCCTTTCCTGTTTGGTGGGAGCCTCTGGGGTCTCCTGGAGTCACTTAGAGGGAGAGAAACAGTCTGGCTCTGTGTGGCAGCTCTGTGTTACTGCCCCCGGAGGAAGAGACGCCCCACTTCCCATCATCCCACTGCTGCCTAGTCCTCAGAGATCACTGAACCACGCTGCTTCACTCCTGGCTCCACTGATGAGTTGAGAGCTGGGCCTCCTTCCGCGTGATACAACTGATGTTGGTTTTGCTGCGTTCCAGGGATTGCACTGGCAAGAGTTGGCTTCTGCAGCAGCTGAGGGCATTTCGGAAGGGAACAGCTGTGCCCCAACTGCCTGCGAGCAAGGGTAGCCACGGCCAGAGAGGTCAGGTCATGGGAGATGTGGCCAGATGGAGAAGTGAGAGGAAGGAAGACGCGAAGTGTCCAGACCAGACTCCCAGGAGGACATCCCGGGGCCCTGAAACCAGGGTCAGCCAGGGAGACCCTGGTGCCTCGTCTGGGCCAGTTACAGGCTCCTCAGGTAAGGAGATCTGAGGAGCAGGCTAGTGTGCCTCACTTTCTATCCACACAGGCCTTGATGGGCCTCTCACCCCGCTCCCTGGAAGGCTAGGCGGGGGGATCACAAAATGGAGCACAGCCTGGGAAATTTAGCGGGATGCTGTCTCAAAACAAAAAGTAGTTTTGCATTCTTCCCGGAGTACAAAGGCCCTCACTTCAATCCCCACTACCACAAAAAAGGAAAGAAAGATGCAAGCATAGATTTGTTCATAAAGAATGACAATAAGCCAGGCATGGTGGTATATGTCTGTAATTCCAGCACTCAAGGAGGCTGAGGCAGGAGAATTACAAGCTGAAGCCCAGCTTGGGCAGTCAGTAAATTAATAAGACCCTGTCGCTAAAACAAAGACAGACAAAATACTATGACAAGCACTCTGGAAAGTCAAGTGGTCCCAGTCCTGTGAAGAGGTTTGAAGGAAACATGATGTCATCTGTTCTCTGGTAGGCCAGTGAGACACTTTCATCTTTTTCCACTTTTTAAAAAAAATATTATTTCTATCACACCAGGTATTTTTTAAAAACTAGTGGTGTGTGGGTGTGGATGTGGATGGCACAAAACTTGATCTTAGCCAAATGGCGAGAAGCAGTGTGTATATGGGGCTAGACACTGGCCCAGGAACTTTGCATTGATCTACATCCTTAGCTTGTAGACTTTTTTTTTTTTTTTTTTTTTATTTTATTTTTTGTGTGTGTGTGTGTGTGTGTGTGTGTGTGTGTGTGTGTGTGTGGCCAGCTCAGCCCACCAGGGGGCGGGGCTGGCTGGCATGTGGTGCTGGGGGATTGAACCGCGGTCCCTGTGCTTTGCTAAGCTTGTTCTAAGTAGGTGCTTTAGACCACTGAGCCATCTCACCAGCCCCATTTTTAATTTTGAGATAGGGTCTTGCTAAGTCAGCCAGACCAGACCTTCTAACCCTTCCACCTTAGCCTCTCTGCATAGCCTCTTAAGAATGCTGGGACTCCAGGTCTATGTCACAACACCCAGCTGGAGTTCAAGGCTGAAGGAGACTTAAGCCTGATTTTCTAGGTCCCTGGAGAGTTGCCATTTTGTGCATTAAATTAACATACATACATGCCCCCCCCACACTTTTGAAAAGGGGCTAATAACTGAAATTAGCTTTTTTTTTTCTTTTCCTAAAATATAAATGTACACATAGTTTCTGGGGGCCTTCCAGACTACAGGAGTGGTAGATGCCCTAACGTTGACAACTGTCTTATGCTAGATGAAGGCGTGCACCTTCATCAGGACCAGTGAGAGCTGAGGCCCGGCCTGGACAGGAGATGCCTGTTTTCTCCCCACCGTGTTACCCTGTGAGCCTTACCCCTCACCTCCCACCTTTTATGACTGCCTTCTCAGTCCCAATCAGCAGCACCTTTGACCTCTTGCTAATCAGTCTCCAGGATGCTGCCCCAATGTGGGCATGGAACAGCAAAAAAATCACTGTCATTCCATGCCACAGGTGTAGGGTGCAACACAGGGTTCAGCTGCCACAGTGCTGAAGGAGCCCAGGGATCCCCTTATAGCAAGTTCTGAGCGGGGAAAAGACACTGCCCAGCCCTGGCCAACTCAGCCAGCGGCGCCCTCACACAGACACCAGCCACAGACAGCCAAAATCGGGGCCTCAGACTCCTGTTCTCCAGACCACCCCCCACAGCTCCCACTCCCAGCCAAAAGGGGCATCTCCATTGGCTTCCACAAAGGCCAAATAAGGGCCCCTGGCTCCACAGAGGCCAAAGGAAGCTGCTCCTGCAGGCCTGGGCCAGGCCACTTGGTCTTGCCCTCCACCTGCTGCAGCTGTTGAACTGTCAGCAGCAAAGGTGCTTGTCCCCTCTTTAACTTCACGTTCTCTCATCGGCATGCCTCTTCATGCCAGGAAGTTTAGAGTGTTTACAGTAATAAAAAGTAAAGTTTGGTCCAAGTTCAGCTCTGCTGTGTGTCAGAGTAAGTTGGAGGGAAGATGGGGTGGGCTTTGGCTTCAAGGCCAGCTGGGACAGTGCTCCATGCCAAGGAGTCATGGAAGCTGTCTCACAGCACAGGCACCCAGAACCGGAACCCTTTCATCCACACCATCAGGGGGTGATGGTCATGTTGTTCATCAGAGGGTGAGCAGTACCAGCCTAGCCTGGAACAGAAGGGGGAGCCCCTGCAGTGGGCAAGCAGACAGGATGGCTCTGTGGGAGACACCCACTAAGGAGGGGATGGCTCTGTGGGCAGCGTCCTGCAGGAGCCCCTAGGCAGAAGTGCAACAAGCCCAGGCCTTGGTGAGGTCTGAACATCTTGCAGCCAGCCCAGCTACATCCAGGAGGTTTTTGGTTTTTATGACAGAGAATTCAACCCAGGGCCTTTCAACAGAGCTGTGTCCCCCACCCAGCTCCCCTTTTTGTTGAGATAGGATCTTGCTAAATTGCCCAGCTAGGCTCAAACTTATGATCTTCTTGCCTCAGTCTCCCAGAGTGGTGGAAATACAGGTGTGCACCACCACTCCCAGCTTCTGAGAGACACTCGCTTTGGCTGCATCAGATGTCAGCTGTGGGCCTATGTCAGATGACTCTACCCCTTCATAGCCCTCTTCCAGCAGGTCTGTGAGGGGCCCTCCCCTACCTATGACCACATAGTCTGAGACTACACATGTGCAAGCCCAGCTTTTCTCCTTTATAAGTACTTTCCCTGTACCTTCAGGGGTTCATCCCAGGTACAGTTTCCCCCTTAGGCTGTAGCCTAAGGATAATAAAACCTGTGGATGGCATATTCCTATTGATTTCTTTTTTTT